GCTGTACAATATTATATAAGTTACAGCTGTACAATATAGTGATTTGCAATTTTCAAAGGTTATATTCCATTTGTAGTTACTATAAACTTTGGCTATATTTTCTGTGCTGTACAATACATCCTGGTAGCTTACTTTATGCATAATAGTTTATACTCCCCTACCCCTGTATTGCTCCCCTCACTGGTAACCACGAGTTCTCTATATCTGTGGGTTGGTTTCTTTTTTGTTATATTCTTTTTTGTTTCTTTTGTTGGTTTCTAGTTTGTTGTAGGTTTTTAGACTCTACGTATAAGAGATACCATGCAGTATTCACCTTTCTCTGTCTGACTTATTTTACTTAGCATAACACCCTCCAAGTCCATCTATGTTGCTGCAAATGGCAAAATTTCCTTCTTTCTCATGGCTGAGTAGTATTCCGTTGTCTGTGTATACCTCATCTTCTTTGTTCAGTCACCTACAACACTTAGGTTGCTTCCACATCTCGGCTATTGTAAACAGTGCTGCTAGGAACATGAGGCTGCATGTATCCTTTCAAATTAGTTTTCTTTTTTCTTTCGGGATATATACCCAGGAGTGGAATAGCTGGGTCACGTGGTAGTTCTACTTTTAGTTTTTTTGAGAAAATTGCCCTGCTGTTTTCCACAGTGGCTGCACCAGTTCACATCCGCATCCACAGGGTATGACGGTGGGGGGAGGGGTTAGTTTTGCAGGAAGAGGATGATCAGACACACGTGTGTATACGCGTGTGTAAGCATGTGCCAGGGCTTCCCAAAGAGCACCCTGCACTGGGAACAGGAAAGTCTGATGTGTGTCCTAACTCCTCGCCACCTCAGCCTTCCCCGTCTGCAACGCGGGGACGATTGTATGTGTCTTCAGTGCTTCAGAGGGATGCCGAGACGGTAAAAGGGATGACAGTTAAGTAAGCACTTTGAAGTCCTGGAAGGGAAAGAACGGTATGAATCCAACCTATCATTATTATGGACAGGGTGTGTTTATGTTCCATGCCTCTGCTCAAAGTCACGGGGGCCGTGCGTATGTCAAGCTTACCTTTGTTCCTTCGTGTTCAGTTCCCAGAAATGGTAAGAGGAACACACTTTTCTTTCCCCAGCTCACCCTTCACTTGTAGTATCCTCTGGATGGGATTTGGCAATTCTTAGTGTTGTTGCAGACTTAAGACCCTGGCAGGAAAGGATTTTTCCCAGTATAACTCTTCCTGGGTAATTCTTGGCTGATAATGATAATGAAGGTACCTTACTCCAACAGAGACACAACGGTTACAAAGAACCAGCGTGCCGTCTCATAGAAACCCTCCAACAGCAGTCTAAGAGGGGTACGATTTGTTCGAGGTACATTTGACAGAGGGAAGGTGGCTCAAGGTGTTCAAGTAACTTGCTTAAAACTTCACTTTACAGCTGGAGTAATTAAGGCTAATAGAAGAACTGTGTTCTAAAAAATAGAGTGAATGAGCCCCGGGGATGCTGGAAGAGCTGAGCCACGTCCCAGGGAGCACCCCTGGGACTTGGAAACGTCTTCCATGCCTGCAGCCCCCCACACGGCCTCCAGTTCTTTGCTAATGGGTGTGAATACTGATTTTCTGGCCTGCAGTTTTAAAAGATGCACCACCCAGGGCGTCGTGCACTGTTCTCCAAATACAAACAGACAAGCACCCCAAATAAGAAGAAAATAAAACAAAATTGTTCCTTGGTCTCCAGAGTCATTACCTGATCAAGTGTCCATTTTCCCTTGAGAGGAAACAGTGCACTCAGGTTTGCCTGAGGTGACCTGCGAACCAGAGGTCCTGGGGATGGTGGGAAGAAAACCGGACTTGGAATCCAGACGTGAGGTTGTCCTGGTCGAACGTGACTGCTCGTGTGACCCGAGGATGATGTGAACTTATTTGAGTTTTGGTTTTAATAATTGCAAACGGCATGTATTTATCTGTTTACTGACTGTAACCTTCCGATCAGCCTCCCTCCCCTTCATCTGTCCAGTTCCAGAAGCTGAAGCATATGGGCTAAGCAATCACTTTCAGGGTGTGTGTTTGCAGATTACCGGCTGAAAAATGCTCTGTTTCAATCATTTTCTCCCCTTTTCTTTCTCAGCTCAAGTGCACCTGTGTTTGCTCACTTCTCATGGAGGGGAGTGGGCTATGGTTTCTGTTCCTACAGTCTGACTGTCCCCATATTAATCCATCTGAGCAAAGCTGAGGAGGGGAGACATACAGGGTTGCAGCGAGACTGAATCACTGCGTGTCAGACGTGCACCACGGTGACTGCATACAGAGGGGCAAGAACCGGGAGCTGTCGCAGCCTTTCCTCACCCGGTGATTCTCATTGTCCTGAACGGTTTAGCCATGGCCCTGGCTGGGGACTGGAGGGTCACTGGACTCCCTTCAAAGTGTCAGGCCGGTGAGTGGCCGGGCAGGGGTTTCTTGCAGAGGTGTATCTGTCACCGAGTCTCCTTATTTTCTGCACACCTTTGAGGACGGGTCTTTGGGATAACTTTTTGTTACGTAGACGGTAAATGCAAATAAAATGACAATTTTGAGATCAACGACAACATTTTGATTCGTTTTCCTTCTAAACTGAGCCTGAGAAACAAACTCCCAAATCCGTGGACAATGTGTTTTTCCCAGGGACCTTTCGGTTTACAGGTGTGAGCCGGGGCCACCCGATCGGAGCCCGCGGGGCTGGTGCTCGGGGAAAGGCCGCGGGGTTCCCGGGCCAGGCTGACCTCCCGCCCATCCCGCCTTCCGGATCCCGGGCCGGGTCCCGACGCTGGCGCTCGGGTTTGTGTCCGGGGGACGGGGCGGCGCCCCTCCTGTTCCGCGGGGCGCAGCGCGGCCGGCTCTTCCTCCGTCCCCCACCGCCCTCCGGGCTCCGCGGCGGCCTCCTGGGTCCTCGGGGGAGGCCGCCCCTCCCTCCCCTCCTCTTCGGACCTACGCTAGGACCCCGGCCAGCGCCCCGGGGCGGTGCTGCAGCGTGCAGGCCTCCCCTGCGCCTCCTCTCCTCGCTCCCTCCGCCTCCTCCTCCCCCCGGCCCTCCTCTCCCCCCGGCCC